CAATCAATGATCTCATAGCAGAAAAATATTATGAGTATTTTATAGTTAATAACTAAAATTGTATTTTATTCCAGCTGATGAAAGTAAGTAATCACTAATCAGTTTTAATTTGTTTAGATGTTCTTTATTCTTACAAAGCTTCCCTGTATGAGACGCGAGAAATACATGGATGTTACAACGATATTTTTTATACTATCATATTATATCTGTGAATTTAACTGTGTTTTTTTTCGAATTTATAATCTATATAATCTATTGCATTTGTATACATCGGTATAACTTAATAATCTGAAAACCTGATAGAATTACCACGTTGTATAATACATAATTAAAATTCAATTAGCAACTATACATGTTTTCATAATCAGTAATCAGTACATCGGTAGCAGAGTTCAATTTTTTTGCATTGTTAGTAACCCCTAGTAAAACATTTTGGAGACAACCTGGCATTGCCAAAGTCCTCAAAATCCCGGTCACCTGCATTTCTAAAGAAAATGTAGTTTGTAAGTTCTATGTAATGAAAATTTTTGTAGAATCCCATCTGTATGCTCTACACAGTATATTTCTTGGATTATGTGAATCATACCTAACCTAAGATATAAATATATTATAATACAATTTATGAAATGGTATGTTTGTTGTTTTATTTTTAGCAAAGATGGGTACGTGAATCTCGTATTTTTTTTAATGTTTTTAATACTTCAATTAATTTTATTTGTTTTGTGTCTAATACATTTTGTAATGATCAACAACCTTTAACATTTTTCTTGCATATCGAGTACCGATATATGTATGATTCTTCTCAGTTAAAGCTTGTCTCCCCAGTATTTTGAAAAATCATCATTATCTTATAACCTTCAATAGCATTATCTTGAAACTGGACTCATAAATTATTAAAATTAACCATTTTTTTCAAAAACATAATTTTTTAATATTTCGATCGATTTCAAATTATTGTAAATAGGTAACTGAATATTTTATAAAAGGTTAATTTTTATCATTCTCTACCTATAATATTACTTGGTAGATAAATTAATATTATTACATAAATAACAGATTCATATAAATTGTTATTATTTTTATTTTTTTTTAGTTGATTTATTATGCAGTATGTAACTATGATGTATTCAGTTTAATTGTTTTTAAAATATATTTATAACGTTTGAGTTGCATTCATTACCTTAAAAATGATTAAAACATGCATTTAAGAATATTTAAGGTATCATTAATTGAAGCATTTTAAACTTATTGATTACTGCTATAAATATAGCCTATAAATATACGTTGCATAAAAGAATGAGATTCGGAATGAAGTCGGTCGGCAATTTCACTGGTCGAATGTTGCGATTTAAAAGTGCAAGGTGGACACGTTTGACGTCGGGAAGCGTATAGGTGCCATCCTCCCGCCGACAGTACCGTCCAAATCTCTGTATTATGAAGAGCACGGCTCAGACGGGTCACAAGTTCCACCTATTGCAATAAGATACACGCTAATTACAAACTCTCTCTATCGAACTTTTCTTGATGACCCGTGTATATTCTGCGATAAAGAATACGTATTTTGTCATAAAGGTCGTTACAAAGGCTGCATGACATAAGCGCCAATCTAATATAGCATACGTGCTATACCCAACATATGACATAAGCGCCAAAGGTACAAAAATGGCCTATAATTTGCGCCAAAACTAATATTTTATATAAGTAGGTAGTAATTTAAAAATGTCTATATCTTATACAAATTATATTGTATTGATATTATTATGTTGATAGTAAATTATAATATAGGTAGGACAGGTAGGTACATGCACATCAATATTTAATACACTTAATAAATTGGTTGATTTTCTAATCCCACTTTTTTGACATATTTCATACGATTTATTTCACCATCCTGGTATTTCTTCAATTCCACAATTATTTCATCGTGAGATATCCTTAATTTATTGTTAGGAGGAGAGTTCATAAATAAATATGTTTCGCTTTGTAATTTTAATGAGATGATAAGATTCAGCTGCATTTGTAGTTCGTATAACCTCATTATCCGGATTTTAATATCTGTTCTTTAATTTCTAGCGCTTTTATACGATACGAATTTTTTTTTCTTATCTTATTTTGGCGCTTATGTTATCCACCGGTAACAAAAATAATGAACAGGAATTCTCAGGGTGAAAAAGGGAGACACGAGTACTCATATTCGATTTTAAGGTTATACACTCAAGAGTTGAATTGATAAGATTGATGACGTGCAGTCCTGTAAACGAATTATCTCAATGACATAAATAAGGGATGGAGCAACCGATACCGATAGCAAAAGACGGTGCCGAACGGCCTCACACTACCGTCGAACGAATGGATGTATAAGAAAGGCACGCTCTCTAGGTTTTGAATAAATATAGATACACAATTAAAGTGTTTCATCTGATAAAATGTTAACTTTGTTGAATATTAATTGTAAATAGTTACTGAATTATTTTATGTAGACTGTAGATTTTCAGATATACCAAACACAGTTGGAAATTGTCACAATGTAGTTTCGTTTTACAGGTTTCGCGGTTAAATACTTAAAGTTTATAATATCAAGTATGTCTAACTAGAGTTTATAAAATATTTAAATGTATATTAAAATATACTGTAATAGTAACATTGTATTTTTTATATATTCTATATCCAATAGAGAATGATTGATCTTAGAATATGTATATGCCGTTAGAATTTTTATTTCCTAAATGATGATTATCTCATGCTCATTATTCTTAAAAAGTTTTCCATTATGGGAATCGTATTAGGAAATATATTAGAATTTCAGGGAAGGCTAACTTTCTACATCAATGAGTGCTGTGGGTTGCAACACCACACAGCTAAAATGCTGTCATTTTTAAGAGAATAATTATTGTAGAAAAATATTTTAAAAAACCAACGACTTTGATGATATTTTAATTAAGAGCTGTAGTGACACTACCCTGAATCAACTACTATGCGGTTTATTCGATAAACAAATTTTCGATTATGGACTTATAGTTATATTTAAAATTGTAATTGATCTCACTGGTATTTGTTGAAGAGTCTCCCTGATTAAAATACATGAATTGCGTCCTGGATTTTTGGTTCAGTAGTGTATATTTTTTACGGGATGCAACTCGCATGTGCTTTTAGCATATTATAAGGGTTGGAATAATCTCCTAGTTTTCAGAGATTAAGTAAATAACGTAATAAGGAGACGTTACTTGGGACACATAGGCGAGTGTGGTTTATTGTATTGTGTTTGGCATTGTATAGGTTTGTATTTTTAAATTAATTTTGATTTTGTCTTGGAAAAAAAATATTTGGTAAACTTTATCAAAATTTAAAAGTTTAAAAGTTGTTGTTTAGTTCAAAATGATTTAAGCGTGCAATATTTTCATTGTAAAATGAATGACAATCGCTTTGTGAAGAGTAAAATAATTTTACCTGGTTTGCGCAAAAATTCCTCTTTATATATTTTATAATTATACGATTTGTGGTATGTCAATCTAATACACACTGTCAAGAAATCTAATACCTATTTATTTTGCAGATGCACTAAGTGAAACTCCGATTGATTTCTTTTGTGAATCTGAAATTAACGAATTTAATTACTCAACTTTTTTGAAGAATTTAATCACCGCTAATGATACAAGATATTATGAGAGATTAGTTCTTTACAATGTTAATGTTTCAGATTTGACTAGATATTGAATGTAAATGATGTAATAAAATAAATGAAAATTAAGCTGTCTAATATTAATTTTATTCTTATTATAAGTACTATTAGTTTTATATTTAACTCCCAACATGGATATGTTAAAACATTTCATCGAACGAAAATTCATTATTTTATAAGTTCAGTAATAATTTGAATTTAAAAAAAAACTTTTTTCATGCCTACCAACTAGAATCACGGTTTCTATCATTGTAAAATCATTTCATTCATCGATGCTCTTGAGTTCTAAATAAATCTCTAGACAGCCGTTTGTTGATATTTTCTATTTTTAAAAATAGTTGTTTTTGAAGAAACGAATTTTTAATGGAAGTTATAATGCTGTATAAAATATTGACTATATTTTCAATATTTTCTGTCGGACCTTATTATTGGTATCGATAATTATTTTTCTTTGTTTCAATTATGTTTTTGTAAGATTTTAATATTTTTTCCGATTAATGAATATTGGACCATTACCTTCTAAATTATAAATATTTATACACCTAATTCTAGAGAGTTATGTCTACGTATCTCAATGTATCCTAATAGTATTAAGAAAATATGTATACATATATTATAATATATTATATGATACTCTTGCTGTTCATATTTTCGTGCTCCATATTGTATTCGGGTATTCCTTAATGTTTTTTTCCTGCAAACTGTTTCATTCAGAGGAACACTGTAGGTACTCAATAATAATATCTCTATGTTAGATTGCGATACAAAACTCATTGGTATTGAAATATACGATTGTGCCATTTCGATAACTGACAAGTAAACAGAAGTTGTTCATACAGAAAATTAATAATATCTAGAATACATACAGAATGAGGCAAAATATTTTCGATATTTATCATTTCTATACCCTATAATAAAAAAAAACTTTAGTCGGATAATCTGTTCGCCGACGCATGTCATTATTACTAAGCGGATATTTGAATTGACAGAGGTGGCAAATGTTGCCTGACTGCCGCCCGACGAAAACTGGTTGCCACCGACTACCATTCTTGTTTGAAATAGAATACAATTTATGTTAATAAATATTTTTTTATTATTATTACATGTCCCAAAAGTTGTTGATTTTTTTGAATTTACAAAGTTTGTACACACTAACCATCGGAATAATGGAACAAATTCCTGATAAATATTGTTTCCTGTATTCAGAATTTTTGATGAATTTAGAATACATTTGAACTTAAACTGCTTGTAAAAAATATTGTGATAATTTCGTTTTAATATATTTTTTAATCTGTATACCATCAATAGTTTGTAATTTTCTTCATAAATGTTTATTTAAGTTTAAATTTAAGAATATCAAAATTACAAAAAAAAAAAAACAATTGTTTTATATGAGTTTAAAGTTCAAATTATCCATCAATGTTTCGTGTTGACGTTTTAATTCCATTTTAAGGTTCGTATAAGTGTGGTACTCAAAACAAACGACAAATATTAATATTAAAATATAAACATTTCACATGTATATGTAGACTTACTATTTAATGTGAAAATTCTTGTTATAGTTAAAATATATTAAAGATATTATGTACTGATTCATATTTCTGTTCAGGAACCTTTCAAATTGGTTTTCTAACAGGTTTGTAATTGCAATAACACGAAGAACAATAAATCCAATATAACATATATTCACAAAAACAATTCAACATGGCTCCTTGGAAATTCTACTCTTGAAGTACCTCTTGACGACACAATATTCGTAAGTTGTCATAATTGAGTCAATGTGTATTAGTTAAGTTTGTTATAATTTAACCAACTCAGTACCTGTATTGCTGCTGTATGTTTGAATTATAAAACTGTGAAGCAAAACGGAATCGATAGATTGATATATTATATCAGACTAGAGTTCCATTCGAGACAGTTGATTTTCGTGTTGTTTGGTATAGCGATCTAAACACGGCAATCGCATCATTATAATAATAATGGACTGTTTACAAATAGAACCCACCTTTTTGCTCAAGTACAGGAACATGACATGACATGCTCGTCATCTTATGGTAACCGGACAGGCTGACACTATTGCTGCTCGGAGGGCGGCGCACCACACCAGCAGCACAGCCTCCTACCGACTTTACGGAGTCTCCTCCCTAAAGCCAATAGGAATGGCCTGCGTTTTTCCAGCTTTACTTGTCTTGTTTCCAACACCGTTACATTATCGGTTGACGAAGTTGCCTCTGACGGCTGTTCTGCACAGGGAACGCTTTCAGCACCAGATTGATCTAAGCCTGTCGTGTCGTCTACCGTTGTAGATACTTTCCTTGGAGCCTCGTCCTGTCCTTGGTAAGTTGACTCAGTCTACAAATCATCTGACGCTGTTTCCAAACGTGTTGGACGACCATTAGTCACATTAAGGACATGTTTTCTCACAGGGTTCCAAATCGTAGATGCTCCACACGTCTGTTCTACAGTCGATCTAAGTATCATATTTATTGATCTTTGGACCACAGAAAATCGCAGGCACTTGTCTAAGGCGTCGGATAATACAAGCTTAGCGTTTTTACGGCGTTCCTTCGATGAAATCTGGACGACAGGTCTCGTCTCCTACACCGTTACAATATTGGTCGACGAAGACGTCTCCGTCGGCTGTTCTGCAAAGGGAACGCTTTAAGCATCAGATTGATCCAAGCCTGTCGTTTCGTCTGCTGTTGAAGTTATTTTCCGAGGAGCCTCGTTCAGTCTACGGTACTATGATCGGGACTGGATGCCGTTGGATACTGTTCTTCAGAATTGTAGGTGGGACGGGGCTAACTTCAGAAGACACTGCTCCTCGTCCACGTCAACCCATCTTTGCTGAATACAATTTTTCGTTTGGTGTGCCTTAGATTTCCTATTGTTATTCTTTTCTTCTCTGCCAGCCTTCCTAGGCGCAGCAAAATTAACTTTTCTGTTATACATTTTTAAGTTTGATTACTTAATATGTGTTAACACTGCAAAGTCGGATTGTCGAATAATTTAGAAAAATGGACAGCCGATGATATACCAAAAATAACAAGTAATCGAACTTTATGGCAACTTAATATATAATAGTATACTGATAAAATATTATTTTTTCATAATGAAGTAATGTATTTCTTTATTTTTTATTTTTTGAATGCGAAAAATACTATTTTTTTTAGTATTTTAAACATAATAATAAAAAAATATCTAGTTAATATAAATGTAAACAAACCATTATTACAGGTAAGTGTAACAATTATGTTTTAACTTTAAACATATATATCATATTTGTTTGGATCTAGCATAAAAACTTACGAGGAACCTTGTATCAAATTTTCAAATCCTGGATATCTATATGAATATTAAAGATTTGATGAATTTTTAACTACTTATATAATAATTAGCAAATTTTCTCGACTGACGACTTTTGTTAAAATTCTAACATAAGCTGCTTATAAAAAAAAATTCGAATAATATGCATGTTATCTTATCTCGTCGAAAATCGGTCAAAAAGCAAACATTTTGAAGGAATCTCGTCAAAATCTATCGCGGTTATAAGGCTGAGGCTTGATTTCAAAACAATAACGCTTCGATATTTTTTCGAGCTCCCATCGGCCGAGCCGCGAAAACTCGTGGAAGAAACGCACAGAGGCTTAGGATTCTAGAAGAAAAAAAGCGAAACGTTACCATTTTATGTATTAAGATTTATGTATTAAGATTTTTGGCTGTAATACAGATATTATTAGTTGGATTAAATGTATCCAAATGACACAAATTCAAATCAAATCAAGGCGTAATCGAGACGTGTATGTCTATGGGTTTTTATATTGACTGAAATTAGTGATTCATAAAGAAAAATTAAAATAATTAAATGAACTACCCAATGAACGCGTTACAAGAAAGTGAATGTGAACGAATTCGTTTTTTTAGACCTTTTTTTTTGGAACTTTCCGTATACTGGTCACTACACCTAATGAATATACATACATATATAATATACATATAGATAACCTATTATATATACCTATATATTATATTTCTATGTTATATGAATACTAGTATACTATATTATACATTGTACATAGTAATACATAATATACAATAGTTTTTAGTTATGATCAATAGACAATAGCCAATCGATTTATTTCAACAGTTCTAAATCTATAATATTATTCTTGTAACATTTTAGCGCTAAATAATATTGAGATTGCTATATCATGAAGGGAGACACTATGGTAACCGGAAGAGACGTTAATTGACCCTATCCTGTAGCAGTCTAGCATAGTCTGTTTATTTTATATGCAATCTTTTTTTGAATATCATTGATGTGATTGTAACTATTTTATTTTCTGCACAATAATTTTAAATTGAGTTTTTCCAACCGGAATTTAAAATAATAACCTGAAGAAAAATATTGAAATGAATAGACTGCACACATTGTTCTTTTTTTTTATAATCAAATTTGAATAAATAAACAGTATACATTTATAAACCATGAAGCCAAATTTTAACTTAATTTTTTTATTTGGAATACGTTTGGCAAGTTTAGGTGTATTTTAACTCAATTAGTTTGATAATTTTTAAAAATAATTTATAACCATGCATCACAAATGTAACTATCTATATAACACTGTAGATACGATTGCCAATTTATGTTAAATATGTGTTATATCTATATAATTATGTATTACTAAAAAAAACTAATTACTCCTCGTTTATTCACAAAATTTAAATTACATTTTTGTTTTCACTTAAAGATAAAATTTAGGAGATCGAAGTTTAGGCGGACCGAGTATAACATAATATTGCTGTGCCGGTCATATTTTTCATTCTTCAATTTTCAATCATGTAAAATACATATATTTGGATGGTCTATACGTGTTATGAACAATACAATAAAATTAAATATTAGGTATACTATATAAAACATTAAAATAATAATATTCGATTTTATTTTTCAATGCAAAAATAATTAAATCGCAACATGAAAATACGACCTCAAGGTGATCGATAATAAAATACATAATTTTATCGTATTATATTATAGTATTTTGTATTAGGTATGGTTAATATTATATATTCGGTGTGGAACTAATTCAAATTTATCAAATAAGTCATCAAGTATAATTACCTGTCATTATCATTGTAATAACTGAGTAAACAATGGCAAACAAAAGCACGGACAATCAATTCAATACTTTAAGAGCAATATATAATATAATATACAGTTGGTAGTTGGTACCTACAAGTGATTGTAAACATAGGTCTATTTAACCATAGACTAATTTATTCGTGAAGTGTATCTGTTTATATACTTATCGAAAATACCAACATTCAAGAAAGAGGAGCCATGAAATATTATATTTTTGTAATGTTTATACAGCTGATATTCTCAATTAGTTTGGGATTGGCTGTCAGTTCAAAACCGTTTTTGAGTTCTCTAATCGTAAGTAAATATTCGCTAAGTACTTGTGTCATAAATAACACAGTCTTATAATTGATAGGTATTGAAATAATAGTAAATATGTACAATAATATCATGAAAGGAGTCACGTTAAAAAACATTGCTGTTAGAACCAGCTTACCTGGAATCCTGTTTTCAATTTTCAAGATTTTTTTGAAAAAGCTATAATTTTTTATTGATATGAAAAAATTTCTCTGATATTTTTCTCAAATATTTAAATTATAGCCAACCACTCTGCAGTTGTATATTGCATATTATGGTGGTTGTGAAAGTTTGGCCACATTGACATAAAACCCGACACGTTTGTGTACAATTAGACACAACGTTTGGACTACACTAGTACACTACTATATTATATATAGGTAATAATTAAGGGAGAGCACAATCAAAAAGCTCTTCGATGAGCAACAGTCGTACAAACCAAAGACACGTCACTAAAACTTTTATAATAATAATCCAACTAACTAGATTCAATTTACTACAAGGATCCAGACTTAAAATTGATGATTACAAATTAAAAGAAAATTGAAAGAATAATTTTAGTTACTTTTCCATAGTGATAATACAAAACATTTTGTCAAAATTACTAAAATTTTCAAAATTTATTTGTAATTAAAAATGAATAAAACTTTCGATTTGAATAAAGAAATCCTGAAATTTAATTTGAACATAGGTTAGGTTAATAGCTGATGATATGTGATCTAAAGAAATTATTTCATATATTTTGCATAAAGGCATACCTATACATAATAATATTATAAAACTATACACAAAATATATGCACAACATTTAATTTGAAAATAACTTTAGTAGTAAAATGATATTAAAGACCGTATACGCTCATTAATATTTCTGTTTAGGGTCCTTACAAATTAATCGTCAAACAAGTTTATAATTGCAATCCTACGCAGGACAATAAAATACATCATAACTTGTATGTAAGTCACAAAGAAAATTCAACGGTGATCCTTGGAAATTCTACTTTCGAAGTACCTTTTGACGACACTTTTTTCGTAAGTAATTAGAACTGAATCGATGTATTGTCTGTTTATTTGTGTTGTGTATTTATTTTCTTTCTAAAATGAATTCAACAGTTATTACGCCTATTATAATGTCATAAGCTAGTGAATACTCTAATTGTATTTCTATTTAAAGATAGTTAAATAGTTTTAATAACTGCAAGCACATTTTTTATTACCTATGTACCGAGGCGTATCAATTGATTGAAGCTATACTCTAGGGACCAGAGTCTAGTCCGTATGGAGGTAAGAGTGTTATAAATAGCAAATAAGACTTCGGAACCTGTTAGTAACCACAAGGCTTAGGTAGGGGGACATAATGTCATCCATTCTGTTTAACCTATAATACTAGAAAAATTGTTAGTAAAAGCAAATACCACTGAAAGTTTCATACTAGAACAATTGACTGTAGGCCTTCTAGCATGTGCGGATAACATAGTTAGTATACTGAGTAATATAATGTGGAAGGAGCGGAATGAATATGACGTAAAAGATCTTTTAAAGCTGTAGGCAATGACGGGCTGGTAATTAATGAAGAAAAAATAGGATTTATAATATTAAATAGAAAATAGGTTAATTTCCGGTAAAATGAGATAATTAAAGTGACATAAATAAAGACATAACCCGGGACTCCAGATCCTTTTTCAATACCATAGAATTACAAAAGTAGCATCGTGCGGAGGAATGAAATGAGCAGATCATGCATAGAAAAAAATAGGAATCAGTATACACTACCGTGATTATTTAAATAAGAATTTAAATGAATTATAATAATAATGAGAGTGAGCATGCTATGTGAATCACGCTGTATAATTAAATTTAAGTGTTTGAAATATTGTTTAACTCTAATGATGTAGGTACTATCTGCCGTAGCTAGTGTTGAAACCAAATGCAAAATCTTCATTGATTTTTTTTGTGTACAGAAAATAGTTTTTTTTCAAAAATCAGCTAGTTAGCATTGCGCATGCAGATCCACATACTAATGATCCACTAATCGGTGACATTTTTATGTAGTTGGAAATGTATATGGCTCTTAAAGATACGTTTGGAAATTGGAAGGAAAACGTGTACATGCATAAAGTATCAAATGCTTGCTCATCATTAAAAAAATTAGTAGGAAACGCAGCGACTCCATTCATTCATGGTCTTGGACTTAAAAGTGCAAATTGTCCTGTACTTCCGGTAAAAACCTAAGTTACAACACATCATAATATTTTATAATTTATTACATTTACATAATTAGGTATAATTATAAACATACACATCATTCAATTATCTTCAACATGAAGAAAATTGTATTAATAATTTTAAATTTTAAATTGATTATAGACAGTTAAATAATAATACATGTACACAATCGATTAATGACTATTAATACAATTATTTTCTTTACTTACTTTAGTTAATCGTTTTTATACTTTTAGGGTATTTATATAGCTAATGGTTTGGATCCGTCAATTTTTGAGCAATCCAATATGCCAAAGGCGTTTTTTTATGGAACGTACAAATTTCATGCGCAATATTCACGAAAAAATGAAAACTTCGGCTGTCAAGTTTACATTTTAGAATTTAAGCGCCCTTGAGTGTCTTGATGTTTTTTTAACATTTTTATGGTTTATTAAATATCTAAATTTCTCATCTGAAAAAAACGTAATTGTACCTTTTTTCTTAAGAATATTAAGTATTTTTATGATTCACTTCTAAAATAGTTATACGTAATATGGTTAATAGTCTACAACCGTATATTATGGTGATCATCTGAAAAAAATTTGATTAAAACCTATCTATACCAATTTTTATGCAAAACCATA